TGATGTGCTGTGATGGCTCCCCTGCCCAAACCTTCTCCTCTTTTCTTATCATAGATGTTACCTGCAATAAACATTCACAAGCCTTACTCCACCTCAACATCTGCCTCACTGAGAAACAGCTTGGGACCCACGCCCTCCCTGGGGTAGGGTGCTAGTAGTGTACGGTGCTGCACCAAACCACCAGAACTTTAGGTACTGTGGGAGGAAACTTCTGCGGGAATGGTCCCTACTTCAAATGTATCCCATTACCTCCATAAGTCAAAGTTTTAGGTCAGCAAAGTAGTCACCTGACTTATCTGCTGATTCCTCTGTCTTCTTGGCTCATTCTATTACATCTCTGCATCATCACCAATTCAAGTCCTATCCTTCAAGGTTACTTTATTTAGAAAAAATTCATTTGTTTTCCCAACCCGCAGTGAAACTTACCAGTAGTTATTTCCTATTACATTGTATTCTGTCCACACATTCTAGTTTGTGTTCTCCAATTGCTGGATAATGCAGCTCTTGTATTCCCCACTCTGGGTAGTGTACTGCTAAATACAGACTTGCGTTTGATGTAACTTGACCTCTTTCCTTCATGTATTTATTCAGGACCAGGACCAGGGTGAGGCAAACAAGGTGCCTATGGGCACAAAATTTGAGAAGGCATTCACTTCTAATGAAATTGCAGGGCCAAAGAACAAACAGGTATTTTTTTTTATTCTTCAATGTACTATATGAGGGGACTTCAAAAAGTTCATTAAAAAATAAAAATACATGGGCCGGCCCGGTGGCGCACTGCTACAGTGCACCGCTTGGGAAGCGCGGTGGCGCTCCCGCCGAGGGTTCGGATCCCACATGCAGACCGGCCGCTCACTGGCTGAGCGAGGTGCGGACGCAGCACCAAGGGTTGTGATCCCGTTGCCGGTCCCGGTCCGATACGTGCGTGACACTGAGGGTTGCGATCCATTGCCAGACACGAAAAAAGACAAAAAGGAAAAAAAAAAAAATACAAAGTATAAACTTTACTTCTCAACATAAGCTCCATCAAGTTCAAGACGCTTTTATAAGAGATGATATATTCCATCCACAATGAACTGAGGATCGAGGGGATTTAACCATGTCAGTGCAGTCTTTTTTACATTACTAATGGAAGAAAAAAGGGTGTTCTTTAAAGATTTTTTAAGATTAGGAAATGGAAAGAAGTCAGAAGGAACCAAGTTAGGACTGTAAGGCTGATGCCAACTTATATCCCAAAGAAACTTTTATAAAATCGCCCTTGTTTGAGGAGAGGAATGAGCAGGAATATTGTTGTGGTGGAGAAGGACTCTCTGGTAAAGCTGTCCTGGATGTTTTTCTGCTAAACCTTTAGCTAACTTTCTCAAAACATTCTCAGAAAAAGCAGATGGCCAAAGAAAATCCACAAGCAAAATGCCTTGAGCATTTCAAAAAATCCTTGCCAGATCTTTGCTGTTGACTGGTCCGTTTTTGCTTTGACTGGACCACTTCATGGCTTCGATTGTGCTGTCTTCAGGATCATACTGGTAAAACCATTTTCCATCTCCTGTTACAGTTCCTCAAAGAACTGTTTCAGGATCTAGATCCCACTTGTTTAAAATTTCCCTTGAAAATTCTGCTCTTGTCTGCAGCTGATCTGGGCACAACAGTTTTGGTACCTACTGAGTGGAAAGTCTGCTCGACATTAATTTTTCAGTCAGAATTGTGTAAGCTGAACCACTCGAGATGTCTGCGGTGCAGCTATTGTTTCTGCTGTTAATCGTCAGTCCTCTTCAATTAGGGCACAAACAAAATTGATTTTTTCCTCACAGATTGATGTGGATGGTGCCACCATGGGCTTCATGTTCCACATCGCCTTGTCCCTTCTTACAAGGAGTTGTCCATTTGTACACTGCAAATGGGGGGAGGGGGGTTGCCGTCAGAAGCTGTCATAAAATGTCAATGATTTCACCATTCTTCCGCCAGAGATATTTATTGTGAATTTGATGTTTGTTCATTGATCTCATAGAACTAGAGAGTAGAATAGTGTGAATACTGAAGACTAGTAAGGGGAGGGAGGAAAGCGAATGAGGAGACGGTGGTCAATGAGTACAAAATTATAGAGAGAAAGAATAAGATCTAGTGTTCTACAGCAATGTACGGAGACTACAGCTAACAACAAATTACTGTATAACTTCTAGTAGTTAGTAGCTAGTGGTGTTCCCACCACAAACACGTGACAAACGTCTGAGGTGATGGATATGCTAATTACCCCAATATGATCATTGCACGTTGTATAAATATACCCAATAACACATTATACTTCATAAAAATATACAATTATCAAGGGCCTGTGAAGAAATAATAAATTAAAAAGAAAAAATATTAGAGACAAAAGTAGATTAGAGGTTACCAGAAACTGGGGGGAAGGAATAATGGGAAGTTATTGCTTAATGGGCAGAGTTCATGTTTAGGATGATGAAAAATTTTTGTAAATCAGTAGAGGTGATGGTAACACAGCATTATGAAAGTAATTAATTCTACCGAATTGTATTTATAAAAACTGTTAAAATGAACAACCTTATGTTACATATTTTACCACAATTTAAAAAAAAAAGAAAGAAAACAAACGTAGAAAATGACTTTGCTGAAAAAAATTTTCGATGTTTGTTCTTGCTTCAATTTTAGCAGCTTTCATTCTGCTCTGACAGGTGCTCTTTTCAGGCTGATATCTTATACTTCTTAGAGCCTCAAACTAGATCCTGATCAGACATGTTACAACAAGTCAGTGTGAGTTCATTTTGGTGCAAAACAATTTTGAATTCCATGCATAGTTTTTTTGTAATGTGCACTTTCTTTTTTTTTTTTTTTCCTTTTTGTCTTTTCTCGTGTCCGGCAACGGATCGCAACCCTCAGTGTCGTGCCCGTATGGGACCGGGACCGGCAACGGGATCGCAACCCTTGGTGTCGCACCCGCACCTCGCTCAGCCAGTGAGCGGGAACCGGTCTGTATGTGGGATCCGAACCCTCGGCGGGAGCGCCGCCGTGCTCCCAAGCGGCGCACTGTAGCAGTGCGGCACCGGGCCGGCCCTGTAATGTGCACTTTCCACAGACTTTTTGAAGACCCCTCGTACAGCAAATACCGCTTTCCTTAAAGATAATTCCAATTTATGATGCCACCAAAAGTCAACTAGTCTATGAATTTTGTAAAATCTTGTCAAGACTGGATGTCATCTTTGTAAAAAAAAAAAAGAAAAAGATCATTAGTGTTTCAGTTTATACTCAGTATCATAAGCATCTTTAATGATATCAGCTTACATGTACTGAGCATTTAAATGGTCCAAGCATTATGAATGACTCCTTAAGGACTTTGGTAAGTAGAGGTAAGGAAGCCAGCTCCGATTCTTGAGTTGACTTCCAGAGGTCACATAGCTAAGAAGTCACTCAACTAGGATTTTATCTCACATCAGCTAAGCTCCAAACTAGGGCTATTTTTCCTATATCACATTCAATTTCTTTGTACCTTCATTATTATTACTTGAGTTTCTTCCTTTTGAAATACTTGTTCATAGTCTGAATTTCTGGTTTCAGAATTTAAACTGTCAAAGGACAAAACTACAAGAAATTTAAAGATCTAATTGGCTTTATTGGTGATTGTAGAATCAAGCAACACCTCATTCTGTAAAATAGAAGTGAGTGTTTTGATGAGCTGGGTTCGCTCACTGGCTGAGCGTGGTGCTGACAACATCAAGTCAAGGGTTAAGATCCCCTTAAAAAAAAAATAATAAAAAAAAAAATAAAAATAAAGATCTAATTGGCTTTATTGGTGATTGCAGAATCAAGCAACACCTCATTCTGTAAAATAGAAGTGAGTGTTTTGATGAGCTGAGCACAGAAGATTGGCTTTATAGACAAAACGGGGCTGAAGAAAGCAGAAACAGAAAACAAAAACTAGGTTGGTTGTTTCAAAGTTACTTTCCTCATGGGGTTAAAACACAGGGGACTTCCTTATGATACAGAATCAGGTTGACTGGAATCTTCTGTTTTTTGGAAAACTAGCCCATTTCAAAGTTCAGTTTGATTATGTGGCACTTAGCACAAGTGACTCCATTTTGGTTTGGTTTGGTCTGTTCTGCTGGGGCCTAGTGCAGGAGGCTAGTCCAAAACAATGGCCTCACGTAAGTTTTATTTAACAAAGCCTTTCAGAAATGAGAGTGGCCAGCCTTCCTATCACTCACTCTCAGGTAGTCTGGGATGGGAAATCTTTCCCTCTAGAATGAGGCTGTTGTGTTAGACTGTATAGTAAGAAGGTGTGGCAGTGTGTGCATGGACTCTGGAGCACACAGATTAGAGTCCTGTTCCAGCCAGTTCCTAGCGGCCATCTACTAGCCACTTAACATTTCTATGCCTCAGTGTCCTTGTCAGCCAAATGGGGTAATAATTGTACCTATCTCACAGTATTGTCGGAGAATTAAAAACTTAATTACATTCAAAGCATTTAGAAAAGTGCCTAACACATGGTAAGTGTTCAGTCGATATTAGGGAAAACAAACTGACAGAAAAAAACAATGGGTTCCAAAGAAGGAGGAAGAAAAAGAGAAATGCCTGATTATTTCCAGGTATGAATTTCCAGATAGCCTGCTTTCTCCCAAATACCACTGTCCTCAAGCTCCACAATAAAAAAAAAATGGCAATAAAGATACACTAAATAGTAGTTATCTATTGCATTAAAGGGGGAAAGTAAATTTTTAAAATCAATAAGATCTACCAGGCATGTAAAACCAACCAAACTATATAATGAATCAAATCTTTTCTCCCCTAAAAAGTATGAGTGTCCCTAACGTAATGTAGGAAAAGGAACGTGTTTCGCAAGAGGTAATTTCATTATCAAGATAATGAGAAGTACGCCTGAAAAACCACTTCTGCCTGAATTACATTGACCAATAGAAACCTCTGAATCTGTTCTTTGTACTGTATACTGCAATAGAAACACAAGGTTACATCTCCCCTTTCACACTGCTTTCACTTCTACTGAGATTCTCTTCCAAGCCACAAGACATTTCCTGCTCGGAACATTAACTGTAAGTACTTTGAAATTGAGAACTTCTTTAAAAACTTACCTTAGCACAGAAAAAAAAAAAAAGTTTTCTTCAGAAGTTATTTGATTTTCTTGGGTTTTTATCCTAGTGTGTCACATTTTTAGGTTCAGCTGAAAGACCAATATTTTCTTATCTAATTGCTTTAAAGTTAGGAATTTAGTCAAATTCAACAATTATTTGCTAAGCATTTTGCTAGATGCCATGGTTTTCAAAGTAATTTAAGATCTTAGCCTTGGGGCCGGCCCGGTGGCGCACTGGAGAGTGCGCCGCTTGGGAGCGCAGCAGCGCTCCCGCCGAGGGTTCGGATCCCATGTGGAGACTGGTTCCCGCTCACTGGCTGAGCGTGGTGTGGGCGCAACACCAAGGGTTGCAATCCCGTTACCTGTCAGTAAAAAAGACAAAAAGGAAAAAAAAAAAAAGATCTTAGCCTTGAATCTTCATCAAATACTGCTTTTGGCAGAATACATATTATGCATTGTATGTGTATATATTGATTTGATTATTGATTTTAGTCTTTATTTCAATACATATGCATGTTTACTTATGCGGCTCTAATTTCCTTGTGCTTTGAAAATATTTTACTTTATCCATTTAAAATATTTAGATAACAAAACCAAAGAAATAGAAAAAATGAAGAAAACATATTTAGAAACGAGATGGGATTTTGCTAGTTAATTCTAAGAATCCTTGAATCTCATTATGAAAGTAAGAAAAACAGAATAGCATGCTTCAGAATTAAATTCTGGTCTTTCATTGATATGTGTAAAGAGAGATGGCATCCTTCATATCTCACATTTGATAGCTTATGAGAAGAGAGATTATGGAATTAAAATGTTTCAATCAAAGCAGAAGAAACAAAACTTAACATCAATAGACAGGAGAAAGAAGAGAAAAATTTCAGTAATATATATAGTGTCTGCATTCATCAATATGGACTATATTCATTAATATTAACACCACGGTACTTCATAAAGTCCATGGAAAGATCCATATTCTCTTTTAATTCTATTTTGCCATGAATTTTTTGAAATATCCTCATATAATTTTTGTAATACAATATATTAGTAATATTAATTAATTTTAATAAGAGAGTGGTTTGTCCTTTCCAAGACCGAGGCATTCATAGATAGACAGGAGAGACAAATCCAAGGTTGGTTCTAAGAATAATGGATAAAATTAAGATTGTTTAAAACGAGAGCCAAATACTGGAAGTATTCCAGCCACTGAGATGATTCCATGGAAACACACCTTGAAAACCACTTTCAAGATTTTCTTTAGAAACTTCTAAAAAAAGGCATCTTAGTCTCATCTTCAAAGCTTGTCCACCAAGAACCCTGTTTCATTTTTTCCTGCCACCATTTTTCCTTCTTCTGAGTTGCCCCTGCCAACTTTTTCATCATGCTCTCTGCTCTTGTGGGATCAAAGCCATGAAACAAAACAGCTGTGTGGTCACACAGTGATGGGCAGAGCTGCTGGCCATGGATAGGGAGCTACAGACATCTCCTTAGCCCTCACCAAATCTAGCAAAAGACATTACACACATTGGATACTCAATAAATGTTTGCTAAATTGAATTGGCTCTGTAGTTATTAGTAACAAAAGAGAAATGAAAAAGCCAGGGGCCATGGTTTGCTAAGTGCACTCTGAAAGGCATTGGCATTGGTGTCTCCTGGGATGCCAGATACTGTCATGGGTGGGCAACTGAGGGGCGATGTGCCCCTTCCGGCATGTGTGAGGGCTCACATGGGCTGTATCTGCCTGGAGAAATGGATGCTGTTTTTCTAATCTCTGCAAAGCCACCCACGAGCTCACCA